CCCGGATGCAATGTGCAACATATGACCTGTAGGATTCCTTTCTATGTGTTTTGAACACACACATGATTATGATCTCTATCGATGATTGCTAGTGTGTGGGGTTCATCATCATCCTTCTGTACTGGCGGTCGCTTTTGTATGTAGATAAGACACGGATTTTGCTCGGGAACACCGATATTATTTCCCATCGGCGTGCAACTTCGGTTTTATGACGAAAATAGCTAATATTCGGGATCCACCTATGTTTTTGGATGAGCCTTTGTAGCATAGAGGTTGAGGTTGAGCGTAGGACACTATCTTTCAAGGAATGGCCCGATGGTGGCTTCAATATGACAAGATAACTAGGAGTGTGGAAAAAAACTGTAACACCTCGGCCCCGCAGGATGTGAGGTAGTTACTCCAGACCTCTAGTACTGTCTTCACAAACCACCACTAGCCTTTTCCACGTACTTTGTCCTCACACGTGTGCGCACTGAGAAACTTTCCAGGGGGTCAGCCATCCTAAGACTACTCCCGTGCAAGCACGCTTAACTTTGGAGTTCGTAGTCGATGAGCTCTCTTAAAAGGAGATGCACCTTATTTGTATGAGTAGTACTATTAATCCTTTTAAAGTAATCTCAAGTGTTACAAAAACCATCACCAAGTTGACTCGTTTTCCCCAGGTACTACCCAAAGAGATCTCGTTTTGTTTAAAAGATATGGGTTAACTTCTTTGGATTGATTAGCATGTTAATACGATCCTTTTCTTTTAAATGGTGGACCCCATCATTTATATCAAAATCATAGCCCTTAATGTGATCCTTAGGGAATTGATTGTGGAGGGGCCTCAAATCATGGGGATGACTATTGGGTTCCACCTACTTTGTTACACATATTTGTTGGCATTAAGTGAGGAGGATGACCATGGAGGTGGTGAGCCATAAGTTTGACCGAAAACAACACGATCATGCGGTAACCATCATTCCTTATACCCGTGGTACGTGGGATAGGAAGTCGTGCAACAATATGGCTGTTCGGCTATCTACACTATCGAGACTTGCACCTGGCAGATACTAGACTAACGATCTAAATGGTTGGACGAAAATATGATCAGATGGTCGACCTATTAGTTTGTCTGGGAAACCTAGTGGTGACTTGCTCCATTCTGATCGGGTGGTGACTCACATTGGGTTGTGGCTAGTTAGGATGCCAAGAGAGTGGGTGCCGGCCAACCTGGGGTCTACAAAGTGATCAAGGTGATGGCCTATTCGACCCCTTACCAACATTCTATATTTCTCATGCGATCAAGGCTGACCAGTGTAGAATTATTAATAGTGATGCAGTAGCCGACAAGCAAAATGTGAGACGGACTAGGCGGTATCTCTATGCTCGGCTTGTAGGCCTATAAGTACCATGCATATTTTGACCAATCACCGTGATCCCTACTACCTTTGGTTTGTCTCCGAGGCTCTTGACCAGGATGCAGATTCCTTGGCAAGTTGGGTAGGGCCAGTAGAAAATGAGAGGCCCCATCTAGTTAAGTCAGTGCATGTGAGCCCATAACATTTGACGTGGGATCAAGTAGGTAATTGATTTCTCAGAAAAAACTCAAGAGCCCCCCCTACTTGACACCCTAATTACTCTAACACATGGGCCCCACCATCCATTCATATTTGGTGTTTACTACTCCCTCCATCCCAGAATTTACTTCCATAGTACAAATCACACGGATTAAGAAAGTGAGAATTGTGTGGTGAAGAGTTGTGTAGAGGAGAGAGAAATGTGTAAGAATGTGTAAAAATTGTTGTGAACCACAAATTCTTTGCCAAAAAGGGAAATGGAAGTTCTTTTTGGGACAGACGAAAATGGAAAGTTGGAAGTAAATTATGAGATGGAGGGAGTATTAAACAGCGGACCTTCACATTTCTAGGTAAAAATACCATCCATTCATCCTCTAGCTCCCCTTGCATCGGTTCTATATGGATTCAGTCTTAGAGAGGTTGCCTCTTAGGGCTAGTGCAAGTTTCTTTGAAGGGTGAGATAACGTGGAACTAATCTGTTCTGTCTCATATGGTTGTAGCTCATTAACGCTCGCACCTCTACCAGTGAAGTTTGAAGCTACTATATCTAGATATCACCTTCTCCCTCCACCTGGTAAAGCTGCCCTTTGTTGGACATTGCCACCACGACGATGCGCCCCCAATCCAAAACATGTGATAAATCTCTATTTCTAGTCCCGGACCTGTGACGGTGGTTGAAAGATGTTTCCACTCCGTTGCTGCTCCTTCGTGGATGATTCATGCAATTGGTTTCATGTTTGGATCAAGCCAAAGCAACACCCACTTCCATCTCTATTTTGTTTTGTTTTGTTTAATAATATGTGTGAGTTGGCAGTTGGAACTTTAATTAGAAAGAATGTAACACAAGAACACATACAATCTTTTTCCTCTTGTTTCTCACAGATAGCGCCGGTGCTGATGGTAATTCAACATGAATTTGTAAGTTGAAATATAAATATTGTACGAACATTTGATTTCAACGTGGAAACCTGAAAAGGTGAAATACATAAGTCTTTTTCGGGCCAACGTCCAAGCCTACTCTCACCGTATTTACATAGTACAAGTGTTTAAAGCTTTGAAAACAAATAATGGAGCTTCAAAGCTTTTCTAGATAGGAGGGGGTAGCGGAGAAGACGAAGAAGAAGAGGATCCCAACACATTGAAGGAAACCTCCTATTTATAGGAAAAGGGGAGGAGTAACAATCTTACTCTAATGGGTCGAATGGGTTAAAATAGGCTGGATGGGGTGAAAGGGGTCTAACTTACCAGGCTTTGTATAGACTCATATATTGGACTTAGAGAATAGTGATAGGCCGGGGTCCAATATCCCAACAATCTGGATAGATATTGAATAAAGTGTTTTTGAGTTCATCTTCAGTCATCGGGCTCAACAATTTGTCTTTTTTTCACTGAGTTACTTTATTCCTACATCCAAAACTAATCTCCCATATTGCTTGGACTTGAGAAGTAAACAAATTGAAAAAATAACCCCTCATCATAAATTCCATAGTCTCCTTATTTGTCACCCACTCTCCCTCATCATTCAGTAATCCCTACATTTTATTCTGCCTGCTTTCTTTGTTTTACCAAATTATGGGGAAAAATTGCTTGTTCACATCGCCCTCCCCAAGTACAAAATCTTTAGCCATATGCTTCTAAAACAAAATTTTCTTCTCTACCAGCGATAGATATGTAATTTTTATCTGATAGTATTCATTCCGACTTCTCATATTGTTCTTTCTTCTGAGCTAGGCTAGCTGCTAATTTCACTCAATGCGAGCTTGAAATCCTCTTTTAAAAGTCCGCCCCACTTTGATAATGCGACCCACAATGCTCAATCCTACTCCATATGTTCATTGTACCCGACATTTTCTAACTTTTGAGTATAACATCTATGCATCTTGGTTCTCTACTCCATGTGTTCTCAAACTTGAAAGTCCTACATCCGAATCTTTCTGCAGAGGATTGAACACAAATAAATAACATCATATTATCTGTATGTAGTTAGACCTTCTAAAGAACACGCTTTTGCCCCTACAAATAAGTTTAGCCATCCCTCATTCACCAATATGTGATCCAATTTTTCCTCTAATCATATGTTGTGTTTCCTCAAAAGCAAAGTCATGTAGACCACTACTCCAAACATCTTCCTGAAAACCCCATTATCTCCCCTTCGACTAAGGTTTTCGTCCTCTTCTTTCACTGTCATACAAAATGTCATTAAATTGTCCATGACCATCCACGACATATCCTTAACTATCGATGAACTTCAGTAAATTCCACGTCTCTTGATGTTGCCCCACTCTTCGAGTAATCGTAAAGCCCCATAAACCTCCACTTTGGTTTCCTCTTCTCGCGACCTAATGGAGAAATCAATAGAGTTAGTCAACGCCACGAGCTGAAGTAAAATATCACCTCTCGAGAAGAGAACCAACCCCTACTGAAACTTGCACTTTCCATAACAAAAGTTTTCCAAAACCCTAAAGTAGACATAACCTGCCCCACCCTTCCACTTAGCACCTTCATCTGGATAAAGAGAATTATTGTTGGCTTCTTGCCATGAATCATACCAAGTAGAACTTGAATTATACCAAACTACTCAATCCTTACAATTCCAACCCACTACACTTATTGTGTCTCCCAAAAACACACCATTGTTGATCACCAAACCGTCTCTTGGATGTCCCCAACAATCGTCGTGGAAAAGGATAGAAGGCTATCGTTGGTTGGGGAGACCCCCTAGATCTGTTAATATTGAATTGATAAAGTTTATAAAAGTGAATTAAAATTATATAAATATTACTCTCTCCGTTCCACAAAACATTCCCAAATTTACTTATTAAATTAATTTTAGTCGCCTCAGAAACGTTTGTCAATTTTATTTAAATTTAGAGACATGTTGTTAAAAAGTCTTTTCTCTTTTTTTAGAAATCTCAACTACATAGTTTTTACTTCATTATCCACATGCAAATCAAAGTTGACTAAATTTTGTGAGGTAGAGAGAGTACAATATATGATATAGAGTATGAGATAAATTTAGAGTGAGATTGGTAACAATGAATGATCAAATCTATTAAAATTGATGAAATTCTGACTGAAGTGAGAATTGGGTGAAAAGTTGAAATAATCATCTACAGTAACTTCAACCACAAAAATAACATCAATCTTACTTATTTTGATTATTATACCATTTAACTCATGAAATAAAAATAATCCGTTTAGACAAAATTGACCGACAAAATGATTAATCTAAAATGAAGTTACCATATGGGAACTTAGTGAGATAAAGATATTGGCTATGTTTAGGAATTGGTATTTCAGTAAAAAAAAAGGCCATACTAGTTTACACTTGAAACTGCAAAAATCAAATGAGTACATTGATTATGAAGTCGTTCTAGGTGTACACTTTTCGTATACTCGTTTGTTTCACACACACAAAGTTGTTTGTGTAAAAACAACTCCCTGGGATCATACAAAGTTGTCTGTATACTAAAAACTTTGTGTGTGTGAAACAGACAAATAGACGAAAGATGTAAGCAAAAAAGTGTGGACCAAACATTTTTTTTTGATTATGTAGCTTTGTTTTATGTAATCTACCAGCTAGTCTGCTGCTAATCCAATACTTCGTATTTCAAAACTTTCGAACGTGTCAAAACTCTAGAGACGGGACTTAACATTTTTAAGCAAACTATCGAAATGGCTTGTGTTCGTACGCCATTTCTGCTCATCAGATTTTGATCTCTCTCCCCTTTATCATAAAGCTGCCCACTTTCACCATCCGTTTCTTGTGAATCCTCTCTTCTCTCTCTCCCTGCCACTGCTATAATAGTTACTGATGTGATGATGCGAAGTGGACACTCAGAGAGTTCTCTTCATTATCTACCAGTTTTTCATTTTGTATTTCTGTACTACCCGCCGTGCCTCATACGCTTTGTATGAGTAACCACTACAACAACAAACCCTGCTCCCTCCGGCTATGGCGATTCGCCTGTTTCCGGCCATCATTGCCGCCACACTCTGCTTCTTCTTTCACCTCTCTTCTGGAGCTTCCATTTCTGAGCGAAACCCAGAGAGGGATTCCCTGCTTTGTTTCAGAAAGTCTCTTCAGAACCAGGAAATTCTGTCTTCTTGGACGCCTCTAACTCCCCATTGTCATTGGGACGGAGTTCTCTGCCGGAACGGAAAAGTGGTCTCGCTTGTTCTCTCGTCCCGCTCTCTACGGGGACCTCTCTCACCGTCTCTCTTCTCTCTTTCGCACCTTGTCGTTCTTGACCTCTCGTCAAATCTATTGTATGGGAGGGTTTCATCCGAAATCGCCGGGTTAAGGAGGCTGAAAGTTCTGGATTTGGGTGATAACCAGTTTCCCGGCGAGTTTCCACGGCAAATCGGAGAGTTAAGTCGATTGGAGACGGTTAAACTAGGGCCGAATCTTTTCAGCGGGGAAATTCCACAGGAACTGGGAAACTTAGTTGGACTCCGTTCTTTGGACCTTTCCGGTAATGGGTTCTCCGGCAACATTCCCACCCACCTCGGGAACCTAACCAATCTCCGGCTACTCTCACTGGGCAGCAATCTTCTCTCAGGTTCTCTCTCTCCATCCCTATTATCAAGGCTTCAATCTTTAACCACTCTGGACATCTCCAACAACTCCCTCTCTGGATCCATACCGCCGGAGGTCGGGAACTTGACGGCACTAACGGAACTTTACATTGGAATAAACCATTTCTCCGGCCAGTTGCCTGATGAAATCGGTTCCCTTTCAAACCTCCAAGATTTTTATTCATCTTCATGCTCACTTACCGGTCCATTCCCTGAATCGTTCTCAAACCTCAAGGCATTAACCAAACTTGACTTCTCCTACAACCCATTGAAGTGTTCCATCCCAGATTTTATAGGGAAGCTTCAAAATTTAACCATTCTCAACCTGGTGTCCTCCCAGCTAAAGGGTAGCATCCCTTCAACTCTGGGGAATTGCAAAAAGATGAAGACTCTCGTTCTTTCATTCAATTCACTCTCCGGCCAACTCCCGGAGGAGCTTTCCGGTTTGACAGAACTGTTAACATTTTCCGTTGAAGAGAATCAGCTTTCAGGTCAATTGCCTTCTTGGCTTGGAAAATGGACTCAGATTGACTCACTGTTGCTTTCAGGTAACCGATTTGCCGGCAGAATCCCGCCGGAAATTGGGAATTGCTCTATGCTAACCATGATTAGTCTCAACAACAACTTACTCAGTGGTCCAATCCCTAGAGAAATGTGCAATGCTGTTGCTCTCTCAGATGTTGATCTGGGCGGTAATTTTCTTTCTGGAACCATATCTGACACTTTTATGAGCTGCGGTAATTTAACTCAGCTGGCAGTGGTAAATAATCAGATTCACGGGGTAATTCCTGATTACCTCTCAGATCTTCCTCTCATGGTTCTCGATCTGGATTCCAATAACTTCACCGGTTCTATTCCGGTAACTTTCTGGAACTCTTCAAACTTGATGGAGTTTTCCGCCGCGAATAACCTTCTCGCGGGGACCATTCCGCGGGAGATCGGAAATGCCAAATCCTTACAGAGGCTCGTTCTGAACAACAACAAAATTACTGGGACAATCCCCGGAGAAATTGGCAGTTTAACGTCTCTTTTGGTGTTGAATTTGAACTCCAATCTCCTTGAAGGTTCTATACCTCCTGAGCTTGGTAACTGCATTGCGCTTTCTACCCTAAATCTGGGGAACAATAAACTGAACAATTCTATCCCTGAAGAAATTCCCGATTTGCCGCAGCTACAGTGTCTGGTTCTCTCTCACAATCAACTCACCGGGCCTATTCCGTCGAAGAGACGGGCCAGGTATTTCCGGCAAGTTACCATCTCCGATTCAACCTACGTTCAACACCGTGGAGTCTATGATCTTTCATTTAATGACCTTTCTGGGGAAATTCCAGTAGAGCTGGGGAGCTGTTTGGTGATAGTGGATCTTCTGCTTAACAATAACAAGCTTTCCGGAGAGATTCCTAGGTCACTTTCTCAGTTACCAAACCTCACCACTCTGGACTTGACTGGAAATTCGCTTAAAGGTGAGATTCCAATTGAGTTTGGTTATTCAAAACGACTGCAGGGTTTATATTTGGGAAACAATCATCTCACCGGACCTATACCGGAAAGCTTAGGTCTCTTGTTTGGTTTGGTTAAACTCAATTTGACCGGAAATACCTTATCCGGTCAAATCCCTTCCACTTTTGGGAATCTCCATTCTCTGACCCACTTGGATTTGAGTTTAAATCTCCTGGACAATTATCTTCCCAATTCACTGTCAAATATGGTGAACCTTGTGGGCCTCTACGCTCAGCAAAACAGGCTTTCTGGTAAGCTAGACCGACTTTTCACAACTTCAACTTCGTGGAGGATTGAGATCCTGAATTTAAGCTGTAATGAGTTTTCCGGTGAATTGCCGCCGTCTTTGGGGAACATGTCATACCTTACCTGTTTGGATCTTCACCAAAACCGTTTGGTGGGAGGGATTCCTTCTGAGATTGGGAATCTAACTCAGCTTGAGTATTTTGATGTGTCCAGGAACAGACTGTCGGGTCGGATCCCTGCCTCAGTATGTGCTCTCCCCAACTTGAATTCCTTGAATTTTGATCTGGTTGGCCCCTTTCCCGGAAACAGAAACTGTCAGAATCTCTCCGGTGTCTCTGTTGCGGTTGGGAACCGGAATCTCTCACGGGCAATTTTATTATCATCAGTCATGACAGGAGCTATAATCGTCACTCTATTGGCAGTGTTTCTACAACGGGCATGGAAGAACAGCAGAGGAAGATGGTATGATAATCACCGTCCTGATAAATCTGGCGGCGGTGATCAAATCTCAGCCGCGGTAGATCCTCACCTCTATTTCTTAACGAACAGCAAATCCAAAGAGCCTTTGAGCATTAACATCGCCATGTTCGAGCAATCTCTTCTCAAAATCACTTTAGTCGACATCCTCGAGGCGACCAACAACTTCTGCAGAACAAATATCATCGGGGACGGAGGGTTCGGGACGGTTTATAAAGCCACATTGTCCGACGGAAAGACAGTCGCCGTGAAGAAACTAAACCAAGGTAAGATGCAAGGCAACCGGGAGTTTCTAGCAGAGATGGAAACCCTAGGAAAGGTCAAACACCCGAACCTAGTTCCATTGCTAGGGTACTGTTCTTACGGGGACGAGAAGGTTCTGGTCTATGAGTACATGGTAAACGGGAGCTTGGACCTTTGGTTGAGGAACCGGTTCGGACCGTTGGGATTGCTCGGGTGGGGGAAGCGCTTCAAGATTGCGGTCGGAGCAGCATGTGGGCTGGCCTTCCTACATCATGGATTCACTCCACATATCATCCATAGAGATATTAAGCCCAGCAACATTCTTCTGGACCAAGATTTTGAGCCCAAAGTTGCGGACTTTGGGCTGGCGAGACTGATCAGCGCTTGCGAGACCCACGTGAGCACGGACATTGCTGGCACGTTCGGGTACATCCCACCGGAGTATGGACAGACGGGGAGGTCGACGACAAGGGGAGATGTGTATAGCTTTGGGGTGATTTTGCTTGAGCTGGTGAGTAGCAAGGAGCCCACTGGGCCCGACTTCAAAGACGTTGAAGGTGGAAATTTGGTGGGTTGGGCTCGGAAGAAGATGAGAAAGGGCCAGGCGGTGGATGTTCTGGACCCGGAAATACTTGATGCTGATTCGAAGCCCATGATGCTTCAGACTTTGCAGATTGCGAGTTTGTGTCTGTCTGATAACCCGGCTAACCGGCCCACCATGCTTCAAGTAGTCAAGCTGTTGAAAGGAATCAGAGATTGATTAGTATTGGTACCTGTTAATTAGTTAGTTTATTAATTTAGCTAATCTAATTAGTATTATCACGTTGAAAAATGTTCTGAATGTAATTGACTTTGTTCTGGATAGTTTGTATCTAGAAAGAGAGATAGGAGTGGTAACTTTATTGACATAAACTGAAATGTACCTCTGTCAAGAATCAAATATTATGATCAGGAGGGGTAAATTCCCAATTCCCTCTTCCTTTCCCCTGTTTTTACCTCTGTCAACTGGCAGATTTCATCAAGTACTCAAATTTGTTCTCAAGTTGAAAAAAGGAACGTGAACAATAAGTATGGACAATAGGTATGAAAATGTAAATAAATATACCAATTTGTGATCTTATGAGCAAACATTTGAGGTCCCATTTGGTAAGGTACTGTGAGTGTTGAACAATAAGTAGGTCTGAAAATGTATACAAATTTCCCATTTCTTTGCAAGTTTGAAGACAGAAATTTAAACTTGAGGTAATACTTTTTTTTTTTTTTTGCCGGGGAACACTTTCCATTTTATTAAGAAAAGGATTACAAGTACAAAGATTGAAAAAGGAAAGTACAAGAAAAAGTCGCAAGAGAAAGAGTTAACAAATAACACTCGTCGTAGGCACACCTACATTGGTTGAGAGCCGTGGGTTGTATTGAAAAACTTGAGGTAATACTTGTTTCTATCATTGTGTTCTCCTCTTCTGAACGGGAAATTATTTGTATAATACTTGAATTTGAGGGAATCTAATTCAAACATGAATTAAGAAAACTTTCTTTTCAATATGTATGTGTGTATATATATATATATATATATATATAGGGTTTGATTCAAGTAAGTACACTACTTTAGGAGATAAATAAGAACGTTTTTGAACCGTAGAATTTTTGTGAAATCGGAGGGTGAGAATGAGTGCAAAATTAGGGCAGCCGATTTTGTGTAATAAGGAAAGAAATTAATATCAGTTTGTGGTCAAATTAAAGATAGTCACGTGAGGGGTAATTTGGACATTTGATAATTAAAAAAACGGAAGCATTAAATCCTAGGAAGGCAGCAGATGTGGTTGAATCCCATCATTATCGTCATTACCAAAGTTAGAAGACTTTAATTTGGTAAGTTTCTTCTCAACCATAGTAAGTAGTTTAAATGATGGAGAGAAGAGAAACAAGGTCCATAGCAAAACGTGAACTAGTGTGCATTTAGATAATATCAGTTGTGCTAAATAATAGGATGCACTTTTAAATGAACTAACGTGCAATTAGGCAAGCACATTTGTGATACGTTGTATTAATGTATCTAGTACATTTATGAATAATGAATTGTGCATTTCCATAAAAGCATTTGTGCTAAATTAGATGAATCAGTTTGAAATTACTTAGTGTGCAATTGGGTAAGCACATTTGCGATAAGTAAAGTGAAATTATGTAGTACACAAGCACATTTGAGATACATTGTTTGAACTTATTCTGGCACATTTGTGATAAATGGAGTGTGCATTTTGATAACCTCAGCTGTGCTAAATTATAGAAAGCACTTTTAAATGAACTAGTGAGCAATTAGGCAAACACATTTGTGATACGTGGTGTTAATGTATTTGGTACATTTATGAATAATGAATTGTGCACTTACTTAAAAGCATATGTGCTAAATTATATAAATCAGTTTAAAATTACTTACTGTGCAATTGGATAAGCACATTTGTGATAAGTAAAGTGAAATTATGTCGTACATTTGTTAAATTATCTAGTGTGATAAATTAGATGAATTGTGTTGATTTGCTTGAATGTGTGTGGGAAAAGATGATCTCTGGCGCGCATTGTTTGAGATTGATTGCACATGGAATGTGCATTTAAGTAAAATCATTTGTTCAAAAGTTAAATCAATTGTTCAAAATTATCTAGTGTGGAATTACGCAAGCACATTTGAGATGCATTGTTTGAACTTATTCTAGCACACTTGTGATAAATGAAGTGTGCATTTAGATAACATCGGATGTGCTAAATAATAGGAAGCACTTTTAAATGAACTAGTGTGCAATTAAGCAAGCACATTTGTGAAGGTTCTGCTTGCTCTGGCAAAATGTGAGCCTCTGTGTCATTATGTGAGCATTCTGGCTGTTCATTACTAACAACACTAAACACAGGACTATGACTGGCTTATTGGCTTCTACCGGATTGGGTTTAGCAGGATTCTTGAAACTGGCTCTATTGCACACAACATATTTCCAAACAACAGTGTTCATCCTTGGCCGATGGTCCTTAGTTTGAGAACCAATACGAGAGTCGAAACCACAAGCACCCGCATACTGCCTATAAAACTCAATACCATCTTCAAGGGTTTTGAATACCATGTCAAGCCTTGGTTTGAATGTTTCATCACATTCAGGGATCCAATACTTGGTTAATCCAGGAGATATTTGTAAAACTTCTACACGAGTAAAAAACGAAACATAAACGTTATAGTTATTCAAAGAAAATAAAAACACAAACACAACAAAAAAGACATAGCGCTAAACAATGAAACTTGACGATGAAACTTAGTTGATACAGGAACTTAAAAAATTGATGATGAAACACCACGTAAGAGAACAAAATCAACGTTGAAACACAAACAATGAGCTTATTTACAAAAATTTAAAAAACGAGTAGAAGGAGCAACAAAGAATTATTGGAGATAGTAAGGAAAACGAAATGAAAAGGAAAAGGAAATCAAAAATACATCCGAAAATCTTCCATTCAAAAATACAGTTTAATTTTTGTTTTTTTCTGTAACGTTTTATTTTTCTCAGGACCAGAGGTGCTCGGACAGAACTGCTCGAACTGTGGTGGCTTCGTACCAAAGGTGCTCCAACTCTGGTGGGGGTCCTCTGCTGGCTTCGCATCAGAGTTGCTCCAACTCTGATGGGGGTATTCTGGCCGCGCACCAGAACTGCTCGAAATCGTTACAACCATTACATGCCCAACGTTCTTGTCTTTTAATGCAGCGTTAAATGGACAGTTTATGGATGATTCAATGTCCAACGGACTGGTCATTGATGTCCAATGTTCTTGTCCATTAACATCCCATTAACACACAACAAATCCTCCTATATATAGCTGACAAGTGCTTTGCAACAACACATGCAATCATACACTATCTGCACGTATTTTGAGCTCTAAAACACTTCCAGCTACTCCAAAATTTCCCGAGTGTTCTATCTTAATTCCCGTTCACCGGAACTCTCATTTGTGTGCTCAAATGTTAGTTCGTTAGCCAACGTATCCTGGGAAACGGTCGTTGCAACGCTCCTAGCACCGTGGAAGGTGACAAATACGTTTTAAGGACATCGTGCGTAGCGCGAGCTCTGGCTAAACTCTATTCCATCTATTTTTTGTTTTTTCTTTGTCTATTTTATTTATTAATTAATTTTATTTAATTATTACTTCTTCGTTTTTCCGAGACACACCCAACAATCTTAAAATGTATTCAGTGATTGTTCTACTCCGGTAAACAATCTTAAACTGTAGTTTGTCACTTTGGTGAACAAACTTTTTTTTTTGTGTTTTCGGAAAACGTAAGAAAACGTTAAAATGGATTCACAAGAAATTGGAATTGTTGGTGGACAGAACATGCCAAACGACACACAATCTGAAAGCGGAGCTCCGGTGAACAATAGTTCACAACGCGGTGCAACTGGTTTGGGCAACCGAAGGGTTGTCCCTATGGTTACCGTGCCAAGCAACTCTGTGAAGAAACCCGATAAATTTAATGGGTTAAACTTCAAGAGGTGGCAGCAAAAGATGCTCTTCTATCTCACTACTCTCGGTCTTGCTAGGTTCTTGACCGAAGATGCACCGGTAGTAACCGAGGATGAGGTTGATGCGCAATCTTTAAACGCGGTTGAGGCCTGGAAGCATTCAGACTTCCTTTGCCGAAATTATGTGTTGAACGGGCTGCATGATGCTTTGTACGACGTGTATAGCAAACTAGCTACGACTAAGGAGCTATGGAATGCTTTGGATCACAAATATAAAAGCGAGGATGCCAGTGCAAAGAAATTTGTTGTTGGTTGATTCCTTGATTTTAAAATGGTGGATTCGAAGACGGTCTTGAGTCAAGTTGAGAAAATGCAAATGATCTTCAACGAAATTCGAGATGAAGGAATGACAGTTATTGAGTCTTTCCGAGTGGCGTCAATTATCCATTTATTGCCGCCGGCTTGGAAGGATTTCAAGAACTACCTTAAGCATAAGCGAAAGGAAATGAACTTGGAGCAGTTGATCCTCCGTCTGCGGATTGAAGAGGATAACCGGAAGAATGATGGGAAATCCTCAATCGTTAACGGCGCCAAGGCCAACGTGGTGGAGCATGCAAAATGCTCCAAAAACAAGAACAATGTGAAGAGCAAGCTCGGTCCCAAGGGAGGCGTTTTCAAATCGAAGTACAATGGAAAATGCTTCAATTGCAACAAGAATGGACACAAGTCCTCGGATTGCAAGGCACCAAGGTGGAAGAAAGATTCTCACGTCAACTTGGTGCAAGGTGGGCAAAAGAATGAAGACATTATCCTTGCGGCTGTGGTGACCGAGGTCAACCTCGTTGGATCCAATTCAAAGGAGTGGTTCGTGTACACCGGTGCAACCCGGCATATTTGCTCAAACCGGGAGGTATTCACGACCTTTGAGCCATCAAACGGTGAGAATGTGTGGATGGGAAATTATGCTCATTCCGCGGTTGAAGGCGTGGGCAAAGTCGTCCTGAAGATGACTTCGGGCAAGTAGCTGACTCTCAATCAAGTGTTGTTCGTTCCGGAAAAACGCAAAAACCTGATTTCCGGTTCGTTGTTGAACAAACATGGCTTTCGCATGGTGTTTGACTCGGACAAACTAGTTTTGTCTAAATCGGGAATGTATGTGGACAATGGGTATGCAGTTGATGGGCTGTTTAAGCTCAATGTAATGACTATTAATAATAATAAAAAATATCTTCTGCTTACTTGATTGAGTCTTCCAATGTGTAGCATGGTAGACTAGAACATGTTAATTTTAATTCTATACGTAGATTAATTAACATGGAACACATTCCTAAATTCACAATTGATGTTAAGCACAAATGTGAAGTTTGTGTAGAGGCAAATCTAACGAAAACGTCTTTCAAATTGGTTGAAAGAAAAACAGAACCACTTGAATTAATTCATAGTGACGTTTGTGATTTTAAATCAATACAAACACGTGGCAGTAATAAATATTTTATTACTTTTATCGATGATAGCACTCA